GCTCCGCGCACCCAAACTGGCCGACTGCATCATCAGGCGCGAGAGGGCCCAGCCGACGCCCCTCCAGCCACTGGCGGCCACAAACCATCACCCCCCAGCCCCACACCGGCCCAGCACTCGTCGATCGCCTCACCGGTTATGCCATCGTCGCCTGCCAGCATGGTGGACAGCCGAGACGAGCAGCAGCAGCAGCCAAAGGGGGAGAAGGAGAAGGAGAATGGCGTGTGGGAGGTCAGCTGAGAGGGACACCGTGGGCGTCACAGACAGACACTGATGTGTGTGTGTGGTGTGTCTGTGTGTGCGTGTAGGCGGTGAGGGGCGGGATTGAGAGCGCCATGATCGCGACGGAGTTTCAGGCAAGAGAGAGAGAGAGGGAGAGAGAGAGAGATGCACTGATGGACCTGTGTGTGTGTGGCTTCTGTGGTGTGTGTTCAGATCATTTACGAGTTGTCATTTGACTTCGACATGGAGACGGCCGTCCCGCACATCCACTCGTACGTCACCAAACTGTCGACCTACATAGCCACCGGTAAACAAGTGCCTGGCCACCTTACCCTTTGATGCCGTCGTGTGTGTGTCGCTGCGGTTTGTCGATGGTCAGCTGCCAAGATCGAGGACCTCCGCAATGTGGCCCTCATGTTCGCCGTCGACGCCTACCACACACGGCTGCCACTCGTCGAGACACCGCAACTCATCGGTCAGCTGGTCTCTCTGTCTGCCGGGGCACACACACATCAGTCCGTTTGGACGACCCACTTCTGTGTGTGTGTGTTCAGGTTTGGCGTGTTTGTGTCTGAGTGTGCGGTTTCTGAAGCTGAAGATGCCCAAGATCACCATGGCGGGCGACGGCAGGACGACCGGCAAGACAGTCAAATGGACCGAATTCCTCTCTGAGGATATCAGGTGGGTGGAGGGGTCGGGGAGGAGGGGGTGCTGGTCGGTGTGTGAGGGATGATTGAGAACATTGTAACTAAGTCTATGTTTCATTGTCTGTCCCAATGTATCTCTCTCTCTCTGTCTCTCTCTCTCTCTCTCTGTGTGTGTGTGTGCGTGTGTCAGTGAGGGTGAGGTTCTCGAGAGTGTGCCCGGCAGCTGCAGCCGCTCTACGACGGCACTCTCTACCACACACCGCAGTGGACTGACCGACCCAAACACACCAAGACACTCAGGTTAACACACACACACACATCCACCCACACGCACCTTGCCCCACTTCTGCAGGCCCGATGCTGTTGGCCACGGCGGTGGGGCGCGCCGGTCGGGTGTGCGGATGTCGCCATATGGCGGTGGGGGCGGCCGGAGCAGAGGCAAACGAGATGTGCAGAGAAGCGCATGACCCTCCATCTCTGTGTGGGAGGCGATGGCCATCGGACCTACAGACGGACTTTTGTAGTACGGGAGGATCCTAAGCTAATGTGGTCAGCGAATTTGGCCGTGTCTCTTGGGTGTCCTCATTCCTCGCTCTCGCACGCAGTCTTGTGTGTCGGTTGATTCCGTCCCACAGACTTCGTGTGAGAGTGGGGGGCG